TTTTTTATTAAAATATTTTTATTATATTTTTATCATATAATAGTTATATAACTATCATATGATAATCATAAATGGCAGTTTCTGCTAAGTAGGTAGTTATTAAAATATTTTCGCTCAAATTTTGAAAAATCCATCGCGGCTAGGGTATATAGATGAGTCGAGTAACCAATTTCAGCAGATCAAAATTATTTAGTAGTACATTTAACACCCTACCGAAAGTAGCATCCGTGTCGAATTTTCCGCAATAAACGTGAAAGTATGCATCTGAAAATCAGCTCTCATAATTATTGCTATATAGTTAATTACTGTGTCCACTGATTTTCATACATCATACTGAAAATCAGAAATCTAGAATAAATACTAATACGTGATTGGCTAATAATTATTTTTAACCAATCACAGATTTGCATTTATTCTAGATTTTTGATTTGTATGAAAATCAATTTGAAAAGCGCTATAATATTTACCGTTAATTAATATTGATTAAAATGTAGATCAATCAATAAAAAATTCCTTAGCATTAATTAGGCTACGTAGCAATTCTCATCCACATGTACTGAATGACTGAATGCCATAAACAAACAACACCGATATCTTAAATCAGTGACTCGTGACATTTTTTTTTTTATGACATTTTGTAACGTTAAATTTTCCGTAATTTTCTATATTTGTACATCGTGCTTAAAATAATAAAAAATATCGATATATCAAATACAAGAGAAATTCTAATATAAAGAACTTATTGCCTTCAGATTTTAATCTTTCAAGATTTTAACATCTTTTTGGTTAATACTCATTATAAACCCTTTTTTCGCATGATATATACATATTTTTGGTTTAAAAATCATCGTAGTGTATTACTATTTTTTTGCACACACAGATATCTTAAGAATGCCTCAACAAAAAACACGTATTAATTCGACCCTAGCGTGTGTAAATTGTCAATGGAGACATGTAAGATGCATAAAAATTCACGGAGAAGATTCTTGTACAAACTGTAGAAAATACAACCGACCCTGTATTTATATTCCGGGTAACAAACGTGGACCAAAGCGACATAGACTAAATACTAGATTTGCTAATCTTCAGCCTTTTTCAAATATTAATCCTTATCGTTATGAAGCAGCTCAAATCCAGTATCAGAAACAGCTCATTGGAGACAGCTTATATCCAGAGTTTGGAGTAGATTATACTCAACATCAACTCATGCCCAATATCGATGGCATTTCATATCCAACACCAGGAATACACGTAGCATATACCCAGTATCAAGGGTAGCTCACACCCAATATTGGGAATAGCACACATCCGATATCGGAGACCACTGATATCCAAAATAAGTTCATTAGTCAATCCAACTTATCATCATCCTTTTTTGTTCACGATGAATTAATGCCAAATAATAAACAAAAAAACATCGTGTCATCCTCTATTTCTTCTACTAATGGTCCAAATGATCTCTTCTCCTTCAGAACTCAACATTCTTATAATAATAATATTGACTCCTATAATATTACTAAATCATTCCATAATACATTCATTGACCAATTCTCCTTAATACCTTCCTCTTTCGTTCATGATGAACAAATGTTATATGATGAACAAAATATCACACCATTCTTTAATTCTTTTTTTACTTTATATCCTTATAATAAATATGTAACATTTCCTCCTAAAGCTAACCTTTATAAGGCTACCAAAGCCTAAAGCATTCCAAAACACATTTTTGTTAATTAACTTCTCATTATCTTTCATCATTTTCTATTTACGAAAAATTAATGCCAGATAATTTTTCAACGATTACGTAATCTAAAAATATTCCCCCATTTTAGCATAAGGGCGAACACGTGATTATTTGCACCTTTTAATTTTGTTATATATTTCTCATCACATTTATTTATTTTATGTATAGTATTCCTCCAAACAGTCACTCTCTATTAGTCACAACCTCTTTATAAGCATACTAATTTTTAGGACAAATTTATATACAACATAAGAAATTTGACCTCTATACAGGCACAATTGCTTATAAGCACAGAATTTCTTGGAACCGAGGGCGTGACTGTGGAGAGGTTTGACTGTTTTTATTTATTTATTTTAAATTTACTTATTTATTTTTTTTGTCTTAAACCGTTTTCATTATCTCTATAAATTATCACTAGCATCATAAACATTTATTTTTACACTATTATCATTATAAATTTTGACTATAGGCTATAATTATTAAATGAAAACTATTTTTATGAAACGGAACCTAACGTCCTGACGAAACTCTTGCAAAAAAACTAAGCTTCTCGGAGAAAAGACAAATTTCAATAACATTGAACTAAACCCTTAAAAATTTAATCATCGGTACGCTTAAAGCCATGATCATTTTTCACCAGTTTTGCCGACTTTCATTTGCTTTTATCACCTTTCATCAGTCAGACAGTTTCTTCAATTTTGTCATATTTCGTCGGTTTCGCATTTCATCAAATGTGAAACATCCAGATTCCACCTAATAAGTACTCTATTTTATTACAAGTATTTTTTCGGCATAAATATTCTATTACAAGACAAAACTTCTATTACAAAGCTTTTTATACATTTATAAAAACATTCTTTTCTTTTGTATAAATTTTTTATCAAAATATAACGATAAAGTAAATAATTGAATTTATGTAAAAGCTTTTGAATGTTAGGATAATTATGTTATGATAGGATCATAAATATGGCAATAAGATACTGTATTAAATAAAATTTTTTTATTCTCAAAAATAATTTAATTTATATAATTTATTGCCTGATATGGTAGGAAAAGTGATATATTCCTTTAGCGGTGTTAGCTAGTGGGAGAGCATTATCGAAGTGACATGCATGGATTCGGGTCATGGTCGTCTTTTATGTATCGGGATGAAACTCAAATTCCTAGGATTATTGATAATTGGCACAGGTCGAATGAAGACAAATCGGGAACAGTACACCCAGATAAAAACCGGAGACATATCGGGTTTCGATATTTCTCCGGTTTTTTATTTTTAAATCAGATAAAAATCGGGTACCCGACATAACTATGAAGATAAACTGAAAATCGCCCGATAAACTTTTAAGTATATCGGGTTATTATTAGGAACTTATCAGATAAAAATCGGGTACCCGATTTAACTCTGGAGTTAATCTGAATATAAACCGCCAAACCTTAATTACATCAGTATCATTAAGAAACGTATCAGATAAAAATCGGGTACCCGATTTGACTCTGGAGTTAACCTGAATATTAACCGACAAACCTTAATTACATCAGTTTCATTAGAAAATGTATCAGTTAAAAATCGGGTACTCTGGTAGGACTTTGGAATTAATCTGAAAATAATCCACCAAACCTTAATTACATCAGAATCATTAGTAAACGTATCAGTTAAAAATCGGGTACTCCGGTAGGACTTTGGAATTAATCTGAATATAATCCGCCAAACCTTAATTACATCAGTATCATTAGGTAACCTATTAGTTAAAAATTGGGTTTACCGGTAGAACTTTGGAATTAATCTGATTATTATCCGCCAAACCTTAATTACAACAGTATCATTAGGTAACGTATCAGTTAAAAATCAGGTATCCTGGTAGAACTTTGGAATTAATCTGAATATAAATTGCCAAACCTTAATTACATCAGTATAATTAGTAAACAGATTAGTTAAAAATTGGGTTTACTGGTAGGGCTTTGGAATTAATCTGAATATAAACCGCTAAACCTTAATTACATCAGTATAATTAGTAAACGTATCAGTTAAAAATTGGGTACCTGGTAGGGCTTTGGAATTAATCTGAATATAAACCGTTAAACCTTAATTACATCAGTAGTATTAGTTAAAAATTGGGTACCCAGTAGGGCTTTGGAATTAATCTGAATATAAATCACTAAACCTTAATTACATTAGTATAATTAGTAAATGCATTAGTTAAAAATCAGGTACCCAGTAGGGCTTTGGAATTAATCTGAATATAAATCGCCAAACCTAAATTAATTTGGAACTAATAATATAAACATCAGCTACCTATATGTCATCATAATTTATCTGATAAATATAAGATTGTAAATATAAATATAAGAAAAATATATAATAGCTATCTGCAAGCATTTATATGATATATATATATACATTTAATATACATCTATAATACTATATATATAGTATGTATATAATATGAATTAAATATATTATATGTTATAAATAATACATTAAATATGAAATTTTTTATTCAATGGAATAACTGACATATATTCTCTAGGATTTTTTATTCCAACTTTGACGGTACCAGAAATAAAGTAGCCTAAAATATTATGTATAGGAATTATACAATCCCTACTTAAATTATAGAACTCTCTATTCTATAATTTAATATTACAAATACTGTCAACTTCACAATAGAACCTTGTTTTAGAATCTTTAACAGCTTTATACCACCAAACGAAAGCCAATGTATGTTTCTTTGGACCTTCCAGTAGCTGTACTACATGCTCAAAGTAATATTGAGCAACTCCAGGAAATATGTCAGTTGATCTGTTGTCTAATATAAATTTTGCAAGTATTTTTGCTGACTTTTCATGCCTTTTTGAAAAAGTAGACCTAAAAACTTCGTCTCCAATCTTTATCCTTCTATAAATGGTTATATCAGGTAACACCAGTATGGAAATAGAACTATCTGTATGAATATTTGCTAAAGAAATAAACCTATATTTATATGCATTATTATAATATTGTGTTAACAATGCTAACAATTCATTTGGAAGACTCTGTTGACCTTCTTTTGGTGGTATTAATTCACCTGGAAATGGTTCAAAGCCTGTTTCTAATTTTTCTTCAACGTTTACAGACATTGAAAAAAATTCCTGGTAGTTGTTTCCATTATGTATAGAAAGACTACTAGTCATATTCTTTTGTTCAATGAACTGTAAACATGCTTGTAAATAACTATCTGCACTCGAAGAACGCTCACCCAACAGAGAATAATATTGCATAGTTTTAAGTAATTCAGGCTCAATCCTTCTATTGCTGCTATGTAATAATCCTAATATAGTATATAAATAATTTTATATAAATATTAATTAAATATGTATTGTATATTTATATATAAAATTATACATAGTACTCTTTAATTAAATTATCTAGAATAAAATAATTTTAATTTTACTAATAAATGGCATGTCTAATAGGCTTTAAAATTTAGATATACTATATACATATGTACGTACTGACACCTAATATATATATCTAAAGAGCTATCAGGATATCTATAAAACTATCAATATACCTAAATATTCAGCTTACCTAATAAACCATTCATCCGTTCATAACCAAAGCACCAAAATGCATATAAAGAGCCATAATCTATAACACATTTACATATATGTAAACATAAATACAAATTAGGTGTTATTTTTTCTGATCTGTAGATTCTTTCAATAAGCATCACCATATTTAGAAAACATTAGTGAGCCTCTTCCAATTTGTCTTTATTAATGATTCTATATACAAGAATTGAACAGGCCCGAATGAAATAAGTCAAAATTTTCTAGTCAACATCTTGTAACAAATTTCAAGTAATGGTAGATGCATATACCAGAATGAAATTCTTTCATTGGTCTATTTTATTAGGAAGTCTTCTGATATTAGAAGGAACTTGTATCTTTTTAACCCAATTTTCTATTAGAACTAGGTCTTGGAATGTTAAGATGTCTATATTTAATATTACAAAATGGACATAAAAAAATCAATTAGTTGGTTAGTTGACAACGATTGAACAATTAATTTAATTAATTAGTTGCAACTAATTGATTAATCGATTGGTTGCAACTAGTGTGTTAACTGAAAAATAATTATTCAATTGAAAAAATTTTGCCAATTTACCTTCATTAATTCATAAATTAACTATCTATTTAGCAATGCCTAAGAATAGGCAATGCATAGGATCAATTATTGTGCACCAAACAGAATTAAAATAGGTTAACTGATAAATTTCGGACCAGCAGACCAATATTTCTGATGTATGCCTTTTTCTTGCATCTTCAGTATTACAACTCTTCTATAAAATAGCACTTTTACGAACTTCATTAATATCTCTTTCTTGAAACTAGTCATCCATATTGGCAAATCCACCAAAGTTTGGCTGGTTTCTTTTGCCAATGTTTGCCCTTTTCAAGCATCTATAATAGGCAATTCATGCTGAAATAAACTTGCACAACTTTCTTGCAGCTGGTATATCACAAGAACAACAAATTACTGCTTCTCTAATAAATTTGCTGGTAGGGCTTTCATGTGTGCTTGAAAGACTAAAACCATCAAACAGACCTATTAATTGGTCTATTACAAGAGCCAAATAATGGTTTAGTTGATACAATTTTGGTTCATTTGGGCCAGGTATCAATGCTAATATTAAAATGTTCAAAAGCTTAAATCTCTCACTTCATGGAAGGTTGCAGATAACACCATAGATGGCTCCAACACTATATTGAGAATTGTCGAAAGGTTGAAACCAATCTAGATTCAACATTATTTCCAAATGGCAATCTGATAGGTCTTTTTAGAAAAAAGGTAAATTTTCACTGAGATCCTGTAATAATAAATAATAATATAAATCATGTTATTTTATTTATTTTTTTTTAATGTTAAAAGTGAGACAACTATGTTATTTTATATGTATACAATGTATACAAAAAATATAAT